GGCAGACTTACGGTCAGTGGATGCTGAGTTAGGTATGGTTGATACCTGTTGTGATGGGAATACTGCGAGAACCAACCACGTGTTGTTTGTTCCTTGCTTGCGCCATTTGTTCAAGCACACAATTTGTACTCTTACGGGACATTTTTAGGCCCAGAAGGCTAAAGGATCATTGACAATGGTTTCCAGGTAGTTTGCTTGGTTTTTTCATCATCGGCATGGCTCATCTACTACTTGTCGCATCTTCCTTTACGCTGTGACAGTTCCATAGGAAGGTTGCACCTGACAAAATTGTGCATGGGCAGGACATAGTGTTTGCTGCACGCAGTCCTTCGCCCTTGCACGCTCTGTGGCTTGCGCATGGCCTAAGGCGGTCAAGAAAGAGACACGTGTTCAAGACCGGTGCAGTGTACGACGGGTGGGCACCCGAGAATTTGCGCAACGGTTGCGCAGCATATTTTTGATGTGTGTTTCGTCGCGCTTTACCGTGCGGACCTGCGTCAAAATCGGGGACCGCCAAAATACCGGTTTTGAAATTGGTTTCGCTTGAAACCAAGGTAAAAACGGCTCACCCTCAGAAAACACATGCCCATTTGGCAATGTGTCGAACATTTGCCCCACTATTGAGTTTGACACATCGACCAACAAGGATCCACTTGTGACGCATGGAACGTGGACAAACATGGCCACCCTTGCAGACCACCTTTGAAGGCAAACGAAGCCGAAAAATCTCCCAGAGGAGGGCCCGGGTTTCCGAGAATCCTTCACATTCCTGAGAGCATGTTCCCCAAATCAGAGAACCCCCCTTTTGTGGATGACCTTCCGGGCCCACTGGAAAACATATTGTTTTCGAGGACGCCCCTTGGCCCTGCAATTTGATTTCCTTGGAAGTTGTTTGACCCGCGCCTACTCCTTAAATGCCCCCTGTTTCAGCCTTCTAAACCCGTTTTGCGTGGGGTTTCCTTTGGGCACCACAGAAACGGCCACCAGGGCGGCTCCCCGCAAGCATGAATAAACCACTCAGAAGCGGCCCAGTGGTCAAAGATCCGGAGACCAAAAAACAAAAAAAAAACACGCCTGTGGTCATGTTGGTTCATGTTGGGTCATGTTGGCTCCCGGAAGGGTTTTGTCTTTTGTCTTTTGGGTTTGGGCATAACATGGGCTCCCAGAGCTGTCAAATACCGCCACATCGTCCCAGGCAGTGGCTCGGCAACGCGCGGGACGGCTTCGGCAAGCAGACCTGGCCCGACGGCGCCCATCCGGGGGGGTAGATCTGGGGGGATCGGGGGCGACCGGGGAATCCGTTGGTTCTGAGAGAATGAGGTTGCATGACACATATGAGCCATGTGAGCCTCATTTTTGTTTCTAGGTGAACTTTTTCGGGTGAGGGGGGGCCTTTACATTCATTCAGGTGGGGATGTATGTGCACCAATCCCTTTTGAGGGGGGCTTCCTATTGAATTCATGGCCGTGTTGGTTTATGGTGGGTATTGATTGCGGAGGCGTGGAGACGCGGTGGCCTTCAAAGGTGCACACCCTTCTCAAGGTCCCAGCTTGCGAAGGGGTCCATGTGCCGCAGAGCGGAGACTGAAAATTTGGACCCTTGTCATCCATTTGCTTTTAGAATATGTCGTATTTTCCCCTGTTGGTTCATTTCTTCCAGGGCTTAAGCAAACGGAAGTCGTGTGGCCAAACTTGGCCATTCAAGACGCTCCCTTTCCCTTTCCCCAGATACAGCTAGCCGATTGTTCGGTGGCATCCGCTTCGCTTTTTTTTGCCAGCGAGTTTCGCGCTTAAACTTGTCCCCCCCCATGACTGCGCCAGGTGCGGAGTACATCGGAGAGTGGCAGAACAACGTGGTGCTGCCGCCTCAGTGTGTCCTTGTCTTTTGCCACGGTGTGGGTGTGTCTTAAAGTGAGGAGGCCCTGAGACTCAATGGTGTCCCTTTGAAGTCCCATTCGAGTTATCTCAAAAGGGCACCCTGCAACAAGGCGCCTTTTTTCATTTGGCCCACTGAAGCAGCAACATTCAGAAGCATGCCGTAGCGACGTTGCATAGCATTTTGGCAGGGGTGGAGTCGGGAAAAAAGGAGACATGATCTGTTGCCAGAACCAGTTGGCTGTGGGTCAAAACCAATGGTACCATTTTGGGGCAGGTGCACCACCCATTTTAGTCTATTTCGATGTTCACTGGGGGTACGGGCTTTTGACCCATGGCCAGTTGGACCATTTTAAACGCTGGGTGCTGGTGTCCTGTCAGCGTAGGCCAGGCACAGGTGTCCTTTTTGGTTGTTTTGCCAGACAAAATAGATGGCGATTCCTGGTTTACCTGGTGGTTGAATCATCTACCAGAGAAATCCATCTATTTCCCCTAATAGGACACCTATGTGCACAGGGGTCATGAATTTCTCTTGTGAAAATTCCACTCGGGAACAACATGGTTGGGATCCATCTGTGGCATTATTTTTCCGTGGGGCACGCCCCTGCATGACTCGGGGAAAAGTTTTCAGTGGCTTATCCCAAGCCTGGGGGGGTCCCTACGATGGGTTTCCTGTTGCTTCACTTGGCTGAAAACAACTTGCTGCGAGGAGCAGGGAATGAGACATGGACCTGACCCTTCTAAGCCACTTGTGGTTTCCTTACAGACCCTTGGCCCTGGGTTCATTCCACCGCATCTACCTCACGCGTTGCGTTTCCAAGGACCGGGCTGGGCAGCTTTGCCCACGGGGACGGGGATAGGTACGTCGGTCAGTGGAGGCAGATCTATTTCCAGCAGAGTTGTCGGGCTCACTGGCCGTCCCTTGGGCAGGTGAGACTGGGAACTCTCAAACGACAGCAATTTGCATGTTGAGGTTCACTATGGTCTTTTCCTAAAGTGCGCTTATGTTAGGCAAAAGGTTGGGTCAGAAACCTTGAGCCCATTTCCTTTGCCCAGCTCAAAGCTCAAGAGGCTCGCGTGGTGCAAACCAAGAGATGGACGCATGCCTGCGTGCAATCCGGCAGGGGGAAGGGCTGGTGATCCTATGGCTGTTTCCGCCATGTTGATGCCCTGGGCTCCAGGCATTTGCTGCACAGAGATTTGCCAAGCAACTGGCCAGAGTCAACAGCACCAAGCGGGCGTGATCAGAGAGGTGTTGTTTCTTTCAGGGGATTCGCAATGGTTGTCTTCCACCTCAGCTCCCGAAACCGGCAGCTCCTCCTCTTCAGCGAGCGACGCCCACTCAACCGTCGGCTTATTTGATCCGATTTCCCACAAAAACCGCGCCGATTTTCGCGCGGACTCTGCGGAATCCGACGGCAAGATGGTCCTCGCTGTGGAGCGGCCGGTGAGAGAGGCGAGAGGCATGTCTCAAGTGAAAAGGCGGTTCAAGGCAACATGAAGCGAGCCATTTAGAGTCCATGTTTTTTTGGTGAATGGGAAAACGACAAAAGGTTTGCGCAACGTGATGCCAGGGCTTTTTTTGACAATGAGTCGGATCAGCGCACGGTTTCCGACTTCCTTCATGATTGGACACATTGTCCGATATATTTGCCTTTCAAAAGCTGACCGTTGAATTTTGTTGTTGACGTGTTCGCCTTTGCTTTCAGGTCAGAGCGCATGCTTGGTGTTTTGCCTTTCTTGCCTTGTTGGGACTCCCAAAAGGGGGCCATAATCTTGAGCCACAAAACAAGTTCTGACCGAAGAGCGACCAAACTTCATGCTCAGGGATGTCGTTGAGGCAAAGAACAAGTCATGGTTGTGGAACCCTTGTTGTTAGGGTCACTGTCTGTGATACCATGGGAATTCAATCCAAAGTGATAACGTGGTCATGGAATATGACCCATTTGGGTAATTATCACAAAGCTTTGGTCCATGTTGTGGATGTCAGGACTTTAACTTTCTTGCCAACTCGTGGGTTTTCGAGAAAAACAGAACACTAAAGGTTAAAGGCTTTTAGCAGGGCTTCGTAGGTTTCGCAACAAATGTTTTTTTGTTTCTATTAAACCACTAAAAAATACAAACTTTTAGCAGGGGAGCAGAAAACAACCGAGAAAAAAAGGGTGATTTGCCGGAACCATGGTAAAATGGCAACTCCCGAAAGCTCTTTGCCAGGTGCTGAACTCTCTCTTCCGCGGAAAGGAGCTGGCAGCTGAGTTTTTCCGAAGAGATCTGCTTGCCAATTGAGGAACGAAGCGTGCGCTTGTCAAAATGGGGGGAGGGGGCTGTCCTGAAACAAGGGACCGTGCCTTGCGGTGTTCACAGGCAAACCAAAAGGACTTCAACTCAAGCAGTTTCAGGTCCTCTGGTTTTGGAAAAAGCGAACACAAAAGCACTGTTTTTTTTCATGATTTGATATGAAGTGTTCTGGTTCCTGGTGTGAAACTTCCCGTAAGGATGGTCATGGTTCCAGAGCCAAAGGAATCTGTGCTTAAGATCCCTAGTTTGCGGTCCTTACCCTAGGACTGTTCGAGCCTCCCTGTTGATCCTTTGTTACAAACTGGTCGACCGCGAGGAGTTGTCTGTTTTTTTTTTTTTTTTTTTTTTTATGTATATATATATATTATATATATATATATATTTCACTTTTTTACAGGATTTGGGCCTACAACATATTCTCCAAGTGTCGGTGCGGACATATATTTTTTGGAGCCCTTCTGGGTGGGGAATCCACCAGGGTCAAAGATCAACCCGAAATCCAAGAAGGAGTTGGCGGAATGCAAGTGCCGGGATCGAGGCCGTACCAGATCTTGCGCACCGCGGCCCTGCTGCTTCTGGGGGCAGCGGATCCCGGCTTGCCTTGGCTCGTTCTTGTTTGAAGGAACCCTGTAGGGCTTGTTCAAAGAGAAAGCAAGTGGAAACCAACGAACAAAAGCTAAACTGGTGTCACCCCGGAAAACTGGGCCCATTCCAGTGACATCCTGAAAACCATCCTTTGTCTTAGAGAGATGGCTGTCAAAAGGTGCAACAGGGCCCTTCCAAGCGGGATGGATGTTGATTTCCCTTCAGAATGCGGCGAACAGGGGTCACGAGTTGTTTCATGCTTCCAAATTCTGCCAAAATGGGATGTTGCTGGCCACCTTTGAGATTTGATCGTACATTTTGCTCCAAAAGGAGCTGAGAAAGGGACCGAGGAGCTACAGTCAGTTCGACCATTGACAGCTATACTTCTCTACTAAGCAAGATGTGTCTCACTTGCCACAAGATGCATCTTTTGCATCCAAGTGCTTCCAGGATACGCCGAAACATCTTTTTTGGCTGCACGGCACTCCGCCTGCGGTGCATCCGCCCGAATCAGAGGCCAAGATGCTTTCGCGGCTTCGAGAGATCATGAGGCCAGCGGGCTGTCAGTGTGTCTCTAGTTTAGAAGCCCATGTCCGGTTGTCAACAAATCATGAGCTCGACAAGGAACCCTGGCCACGTGGCTACTTGGGGTTTTGCCCATCTCACGTGACTTGGCCATTGAAGTTTCGCGATGTGTTCGCCTGCGAGGCATGAAGGCTTGAGAACGTTTCTGCTCCGCCAGCGGCCGAGGGGACAAGAGGGGAGGTCGCCCCCACCCCAGTGAAAGCGGTGGGCGGTGGGCGGCCTCTGTCGCTTTGCGCATACAAGGGAGCTGTGATATTGTATGCAGGGCGGCTGCCAGGGCTTTCTCGCTTCGAGCTTCGCCTAAGTAAGCACCTGGCAGTTCATTCGCTATAGAAGTAACCAGGGATGTCACAAACTGACTCCTTCGAGTCCCGCAGTGACACGTTGCCATTCAAGCAAGGCTTGGACGCAGCCGCGACTCCCGAACCAAGCTGAGCTCTTGTTGATTGGGTTCAAGTTCGGTCGACCGGCGGTCTCGGTCGGGCTGCCTTTACCCCTAGGATGTCTTAGCGGGCTTCAACGCCGGGGGGTCTTCATGCCAGCGAGGTCAACTGAGGCATACATTTTTTCAGCTTTGGCCCCAAACCAGTACACAATGTGTCTGATTCTGGTGCATGTTCAGTGAACCTTCAAATTGTAATACGTTGTTGCAACCAAAACGGGTATGAATCTTAATTGGGGATCCTCTGGTGGACTGTGAACTGAGGCCTTGTGATGCCCTACCTCAAGAAGTTGCCAATGGTCTGCTCCTCGTGCGAAGGTTTCGATTGGATCAGTTAAACCCACCGCCATAGGCGTCCTTTTTAGTAGATTCGGTTGAAAAATAGAGGGCCCTGCTTTACCTAGTGGTTTAATCATCTACCAGGGCCATCTATTTACCCTAAAAGGACACCTATGCTAACCCCCTGAAACCAAGAAGTCCGCGTATTGCCTGCTACAGTTTCATGACCCAGGGCTGATTTGTTTCCCTTTCCCGGTGCGATGTTTGGATGGGAATGACAACGCTTGGGGTTGCCTCTCTTTGTATACCCCCTCCAACTTCTAGGAAGAAAAACACCTTCTAGGAAGGAGGGCAACGATGACAGAGATGTGGCATCCATGTAGTGGTCATCACAGAGATGGCCATGGGTCAAATTCCGTACCCCCAGTGAACATCCCAATCCCCACTAAAAGGTTCTAAAATGGGTGGTGCAAGCAAGACAGAGATCGTTACACATGGCACGAACTTGTGTGACGACAAGAAAACCATGTGCTTTCCAAGCACCTGTTGCCATGTCATCTCTCGTCGAACCAGAGGAGGTGCTTCATTTCGAGACACTGTATGGATGGCCAAAACCCGCCTGGCACCAGCTGTTATGTGTCTTTCCCGGTATCCACAGGGTGTCCTCCCTCTCTGGTGCTGGTATATATTTTTTGACAACAACACAAAGCTTCTGACGGGAACCATTGCAAGCTCGTCTCTTTGGCTTGGCTGTGGAAGTAGACACAGGAACCATTTCGGGGTTACTAAATCCCGGGGTCTTCAGTCAACCCAGCAATTTGATTCCCAAGCATTTGGAGTGAGGTATGACCTTGGTGTTAACAGTCACAGTTCTTTTTGTGTTATCCTGCTTTGTGTGCATGCAAGGAGTTCTTTGTAAAAAGGCCCTGCGCGCGGAGCGCAGGGGTGTTCTGGGAAAATGAGTACATCCGGAGGCGAGCTGTTGCTTCCTTTGCTGCCCAAAAACCGCCGTGAACTCGTTGACATGAGGCAGTTTGAGACACCTGGGTTCTTGCTGGTTCTGAGGTGCGTGCCAAGCTTGAAAAGGAGGTGCAGAAGACCATGACCGAGTTGAGGGCCAAGTTTTCCAAGGACTCGCAGAAGTGCTTGGCACAGGGCAGCTGTCCCTATATGTTTGTTTGTGTTTCCTCGTTTTTTTTTTTTGTTTTTTTTTTTTCCGGGTTTCAAACATGGCCTTTTGGGCCCCTTCACAGCAAGTTGCCTTTGGTATGGGTGATGTTTTAAGGGGAAATGCATGGGAATGTGTGGTAAGGGCGCCACGCTTACTGCCACAGAGGACCTGTCACCAAGGGCGGCTTGACCTTTATACTTTGTTTCGGTCGTCAAGAAGTAGACTGCACCGCGATCAAAACTGCAAGTTCAGGGATTGAAGCACCTCCTAGACGGATAGTGAACAGATTGAAGCAACATCTACATGGACACAGAACGCGTGGATGTTGTTCAAACACAAGTCAAGTGTGGCATTGATGGCATATGCATCATATGCGGAGTTCGAGGGCATTGCCACTTGAGTAGCGAGCGTGTTGCAAGCCCATTCTTGGGAGGAATGCTTGCAGAGAAACCACCTCAAGTGGGCCACCTCCTGGGTGGAATGGTTGTCTGGCAAGGTTCAGGGTTCTCTATGTGGCTGTGGACCCAAAATGTGGTAAATGGAAACGATGACTAAAACCTGTGGTCCCCTGGTGGTTTGATTTTGCCCCATACCCATGTAAACATCATCCCTTCAAATACTGGGCCAAGAAGTGATGTCTGGCAAGGAGAACCCCAGGCGCCGCGCGGTCTCGCACTTTGCAGGCGGCTCAAACCTAGACCAATCTCAGGGAAGCGGCATGACCTTCACCGTGTCGGACTTGCTGAGCGATATGGAATGGGAACACCGCGCCCTGGTTTGAGATGGGGCCAACCCAATGGCTGGCCCAGACCTGAAACCGCGGGCGCTTTTTGGCTCTCAAAGAGAGAGGGTCCCGTTGAAATCCGAAAGGATCCTGTGGACATCCAGGAAGGGTCTGGGCGGTGTCCTGGTTTCTCTACAAGCATCCGGAAGCGTCGCCCTTTTTTTGAATTGCCCACTGGAGAGGACGTAGGGGCCGAACATTTTATCACGGGGGACTAGCCCCCGTTGTCCATCCTCCATGCGGAATGTGAGCAATGCTGACACCACAGCTGATTTTCAACTCTGCAAAATCGGTTGAAATGACGCGCACGTCAGCTTTTCGGCTATGTCTCAACAATTGTCTACGTATGTAAAATCAAGTTGATCCCTTTGATTGGGGGTATTTGAAGCGCGTCCCGAACCAGCTCTCTGGATTTGGCGGATGTGTTCCAAATCAATATTTTCGCTGCATCTGTGGGGAGACCTCTTCAATATGAGCTTGACACACTTCCGTTTCGCAACACATATCAGGGGGACCTTTGGTGACTTGCTTGCCCAAGTTCGCAACCCTGCCCGTGGTTGTTAGACATTTGCTTTAGGTTGCCAATTTTTGAGATACGAAAGGAGCCCCTTTAAAGTGATTGATAAAGGAGCGAAGGGGATGGGACCAAACAACTTTTGTTATCACAGAGGCAACTCTTTGCCACAACCTTGAACCTGGCCAATTTCCAAAATCTTCTTTTGGCAACCCCCAAACTCCACACCCTAAGCCCCCCAAACCCCAACCCTAAACCCAGCCCCAGGGAGAAACACCTCCTGAAGTTGACGAATCTGGGGTCAACCTTCTCGGTTGGGTCAACCCTAACCCCCAAACTCCACACCCTAAGCCCCAAGCCCCAACCCTAACCCCAAACCCCAAACCCCAAACCCCAACCCTAAACCCAGCCCCAGGGAGAAACACCTCCCGATTCAAGAAGCTGAAGTTGACAAATCTGGGGTCAACCTTCTCGGTTGGGTCAACCCAAACCCCCAAACTCCACACCCCAAGCCCCAAGCCCCAACCCTAACCCCAAACCCCAAACCCCAAACCCCAACCCTAAACCCAGCCCCAAGGAGAAATACCTCCCGATTCAAGAAGCTGAAGTTGACGAATCTTCGGTCAACCTTTTCGGTTGGGTCAACCCGAACCCCCAAATCCCACACCCTAAGCCCAAACCCCAAACCCTAACCCTAAACCCAGCCCCGAGGAGATTACCTCCCGATTCAAGAAGCTGAAGTGGACGAAGCTGGGGTCAACATTCTCCATCCATTTGCTTAAGACTATCTTTTATTTTCCCCTGTTGATTTTAAAGGGAGAATCTCTCACTTCTTGGACATATTTTATTTTTCCCAGGGGGCAACAGCGCAAGTGGCAGTCTCGGGTTGGGTCCGGAAGGCACCTGTGGCATGCACCGGAGTTTGCTGTCCCTGGTGCGCCTGGCCACAGAGGCGCTGCCGGACACAGACCCGGCGGAGGAGCTGTGCCGGCAGCTCTTAGCGCTGCTGCCAGGCGCCCCGGCCGCTCGGGCCACAAAACCCATGGGTGCCGAGGTGGATGCGCCGCGTTTGGGGTGCGGCCAGGAAGCTGTGGTGATCAAATATATACATATATATGTATATATATATATTTATATATATATACACATATATATATATAGTTGTGTGTATTTGTATATATATATATATATATATATATATACGTGCGCCCAAGGAAAAGTTGGGTGTCTGCAAATGGGGGACGTTCTAAGTTCGGTTTTGGGGCACTGCTGGAGAGGGAGGATGTTTGAAGGGCGGATGCTTGAAGGAGATCCCCCAATGCTTGATCTCCTTTTGTTTGCAGGAGAGACATAAGGGCTGGGGAGGGAGGAGGCCAAGCTGGAGGGAGGGTTAAGGTTGTGTCTAGTTGTGATTCGGTGCCAGGATGGATGGATGGACGGACGGACGGACGGTTGGTTGGCTGGCTGGCTGGCTGGTTGGTTGGTTGGTTGCTTGGTTAGTTGGCTGGTGGTTGATTGTTGGCTGGCTGGCTGGTTGGCTGGTTGGTTGCTGAAGCATAAAATGTATGGTGAAGCGTCTAGGGAAACTTGGGCCATCTTGGGCCGCTCTCTCTCAAGAACGTAGAGCTTGACTTACGTGGTAGAATATGTTTCTCTGGAGTTGAGGGTATGTGAGAATGAGAGAGAGGCAGCATACCAGTCTTTGGGGCTTCCAGCCTGAAACTCCAGGGACGGTTTTGGGGCAGGGCCCTCCCGGGCTCCGCTTGGATCATCACGGCTCTCGTGAGGCGATGCGGCGGTGATGCTGTCGCCCGCCATGGGGCGGCCGTACGCGGTGGCGGTCAGCGGAGAGCCCAAGGTTGTGGTGCCCTGTCCAGAGCCACAAGACCCCCAACCCGATTCGGGCGAAGGGTAGCAAGGGACACTCCCAACAGGTGCAGCCGGCCCTTTCGTTTCTGTCATGGGTTTTGGCCTTTTGGGTAGACCGCTTGGTATGGGGCCTCGTTGCTTAGGTCTGGCTGCTGCCAGATCCCACGGACGTGGACTCCAAACAGACCACCTTTGTGACACGGCAAGGGAACCGTTTGCCTTGTGCCCGGACCCCCCCCCCCACCCACCAACTGGCGATTCCTCTGAGCATTATTTGGGGGATTCCATCTCAATCATCGAAATATGGTTCCCCATCCAGCCCCAGCCAAGGAATAAATGGAAGTGAGTTTTTCCTTGTGCAGTTGAATTTAAAGGGAAATCAGAAGGCAAACCCCCGGCTTTGATCCTTTTATCCCAATGGAGGAGGGCCCATGCGTTTTCCCTCAAGAGGGGCCGACTTCTCCATGTTTTTCAAAGATCGCACACCCACGTTTTCCCAGTTTGGCTCCAGGCATTTGGGACACGGGCGACACCGGCATTTTCTCGCCCAGGGTTTTGAGCTGTAACCCACCTCAGCCATGGCTCAGTTCTGGCCGCCCGATCTGGCAGCGCAGATGCTGGGCCTCGCGGGCCACCTGAAGATGCAGGCGCAGTTCCTGCCGATGCAAGCCATGCCCACGATGCCTCCAAATGTCCGCATGCCACCGGTGCAGCAACCTGAGCGGGAGCCAACGCCGGCGCCTCAAGCAGCACCTCAGGCAGCACAGCAGCCAGATGCCCAGCCGCGACTTGGAGATGCGCAAGTGCAGATAGAGCAATTGCAGAAGCAGCTGCAGCAGGTCCAGCAGCAGCAGCAGCTGCTGTTGCAGCGGCATATGCCGGAAGCGGTGTCACCATCACAGCCGTCGGCGGCGCCAAGGCTTGTGACGAGGCAAGAAGCGCCGGTGCCGTTGAGAGATGCGCAGCCCGAGCCAACGGAGAGCAGTTCGAGGCCTGACGCAGGCGTGATCGAGCAGTTGCAGAAGCAACTGGAGCAGCTGCAGCAGCAGCAGTTGATGACACAGCGGCAAATGCAAGGCCTCCAGCCGATGGGATTGCAGGGCCTCAGTCTGACTGCATCGGGGGTGGCCAGTCCCACGCCCTCGAGCCAGCCTTGCGGCACTGCGACACCGCAAGCGCCTCCGGTTTTTCATGTGGATGACCCGGTGGAGGCGCAATGCGAGGGCTGGGGTGACGCCTGGTTCCCCGGCAAGGTGCGAGAGCTGCGGAGCGGCGAGATCCAGGTCCTGTGGGAGGGTGACGAGCCGTCCATCTCGAACGTGCCTGTGAACATGGTCCGGCACAGAAAAGCTGCACAGGCGCCCTCGGATTCCAAGAAGCGGCGCTTGGACGCGGAGGTTCCTGAGCTTCCCGATCGAGGAGAGCAGGACGCGCTCTTGGAGTTCCAGCTCCGCCCCGGCGCGGACTGCTCAGAGGCCTTCGCGACTCTGCGGCGGCGCTTGGAGGTGGAGTTGAAGGAGGGCAAGCGGATGTCCATCCAGCTCACCGTCACGAGGCCCGCGCCCGCGCCGGCGCCGGCGCCGGCGCCCGAGGCGAGCCCCGAAGCCGAAGCGAGAAGTGGAGGCTTCCCTCCGGCTCCGGCTTGGCAGTCGGAGGCTTGGTGGCCGAGCAAGGGCTGGGGCAAGGGCAAGGGCAAGTCCGGCTTCGCGGCTTAGGCGCCGAGCTCCAAGGGGCCCCCCTCCAACTTCCGGTGAGCGACGAGCGTGGAAGGTGAGAGGAATCATCGGCCTTCCATGGCGGAGAAAAGGGGAAAAGAGGTGCCGGGGTCCGGATGGTCGAGGTGCCACAGCTCACCTTCATTTCTTGGGGCGCAGAGCACAAGTTGGCGATGTGTTTTTCTCACACACCAAAAGTGGCCGGTGTCCTTTTTGGTTTCCCTGAGCCCCGAATTTAGGACACCCCCACTTACCCCCACTTGACTTTGGTCCAGTGGGACCAAGTGACACGGAAGGAACAACTTAGTAAAGGAAGAAAACCAGGCAGCACCGATGTTCAGCAACCATGGCGAGGGGTCAAGCGAATTCGAAACTGGTGATAAATCCTCATGAAGCAATGACCAAGGTGAAGGGCGAGAATCAAGACGAGGTCTTCGAGAAGTTGTACAAGCTCACTCTTCCAGAGGATGACAAAGCATAAGCTGCCCTCCGTCTGCCAGTGTCGTCTTTTCCGCCTTTTCGACCCTCACTTCCGAGAAGTTGCACAGCTCACAGGTTTGAAGAGCCTTCAAGCAGCAGGTGGTCGCATGTACAGTCTTGCGCGGAACAACCTGCCGGATCTCTCAGATGGCTGGTCCAGACCAGCCCGGAGGCGAGTGAGATATGTAGCCAATGGCATTCTTTGAACTCATGCACAGCTCCACCTGAATGGAGAGCGACTTGACAGATTGCGGAAAACTGGATTGAAGTCATGTGTCGGAGTTTGAAGGCTGTTGTGCATAAGAGGTGAGGGAGATGAGTAGGCTTCCGTGACGGTTTTGCCCGCATTTGAGGTTGTCATTGTCCCACACAATTCAACTTGTGGCTTTTGACGGGGCCCGTGCATGGTTGCTGTAGGACGGGGATGCCTAGCGCTGACATCTTCTAGTCTTAGAACCTCTGCACTCATGCATGAGACTCACAAGTTCTTGTTTTATTTTGAGGGTATCCTTTTCAGCTTGATTTAAAGGGAAACCAAAAAGGACACCATCATTTTGGGGGTCCCAGAAAGACCCTGGATCAGGACCTCACAGATCCGTGCACCTCATTGCCCAGCAAGGGCATGGCCAAGGAGGAGTGAAGAATGGCAGGTGATGGCTTCTCAACTGATCTGCCACCCCCTTGCTTCCTGAAATATATATATATATATTTAACCCTGTTGGTTTTAAAGGGAATCAATTTCACTACTGGACCTATGTTTGTTTTCCCCAGAACCCTTTCGCAAATGGACGCTTGTCAGATTTGACCGGGAAAACCTCCATGCCTGGTTTGCCTTACCAAAGAAGTACCGAGCCTCCTACTTGGACCCATAGCCGTCAGCGGCGTTGCTCCATAGGACCTCTTGAAACTCCTGGACCACCGGAAGGAGCAGGCTGGGCTGCGAAGGGCTTCTGGGGCCCCGCCTTGGCTTTGATGCCGGCCTCGCTTTGAGGCCAAAAACCTCGCGGCTTTTTTTTGGGGGGGTGGTTTTCGTCGGTTCTGAAACGCATTTTGGCGAGCTGTCCTTTGCAGCGGATTTTCCTGCAAAGGGCTCATATGGTCTTTTGGCGGCAAACTGCGTGAGTTTGCTTTGTATATCAATGGAGTCTGTCGCGTGTGCGGGTTACCTTGGACGGATTATGAACCAAGGGGCCCTTTACGACAGCACCTGTTTGCATCTCAGTGACAGCGGGTTGCGACAAAACCTGGCTGCAAGTGTTGAAACGGAGCTGTTGAGAGCTCTGCGAGCCAACGGCGGCAAGCTTCATGTCCAGCTTAAGCTAATCCGCTCCCCCTATTAATGAATGACCCAAATTAAGACAAGGGGGGGGGGGGGCGTATTTGTTAATAGGGGGAAGGGATTAGTCTGGAAGCAGCGTTCATGCTTCAAGGGGGAACCAAAAAACTCGCGTGTCTGGGCTTGTCTTCGGGCCGATTTCAATGGGCCAGTTTCGAACCGTTTGGCGTGATGTGTTCAGGGGGCAAATGAGCTGACGCAAGTGCGAGTCTACTGCTAGTTTGGGAAGAATGTTTTCCAAAGACCAGGGCCCCATGTCCTCTTGGCGCAAGAAGTGGTTTTTGTCCAGAAGTGTTTGTCTCCAAACTAGCTTCGGCTTCTTGTTGCTTCACCTTTGAAATCAAACAGGCGTCGTGCCCGGGGTTCACACATGGCCATGGTTCAAAACCAATGGTACCATTTCGGGATAGGTGCACCCCCCCCCCCCCCCATTTTATCCATTTTAGTGGGGATTGGGATGCTCTCTGGCTACTCCTTCGGCGCGGTCGTTCGCGTGTTGGTTTTTCGAGGACAGTCAGACCTGGATGAAGGGCAAGACAACAGGTGCGGTCTACCACGGCGGTCAGGAGCCGATGCCTCAGCTGGATCGCCAGTTGCGGCTTTTCTCCATGAACTCTACCCCAAAAACCAGCAACAGTCACTGAAAAAAGAGCAGTCACTTGGCTATCTAGGCGTTTTTGAAAGGTCGAATGGGCAGATCTCGGGTCTGTGCCGAGTCTGCGGGAGAGACGATCCTTCCGTTTTCCACTTCAGCCAAGCTTGGACAAAAGGTATCAAGACACGCACACCGAACCTCTTGAAACAAAGCGTGAAGCGGTCTAGGGCTTTTCTGGGCCTTTGGGTTTGAATGTTGTGTCTTGGGCGGTGCTTGTCCAGGTGCGGTGGGTGCTGGCGCTTGGTTGGCAGTTTGAGCCAGGGTGCGGCTTTTCGATGATTCCGATGTGCAGCCAGGGTACCTTTGGGTGCATTTGGCCAAGGGAGGCTATAGGACTTTCACTTTTTGAGCCAACGAATTTGGGTTTTTCCGTATTAAAAACCACTAAAAGTGAGTCGCTTCTAGCAGGGCTTCGCAGATGGGATGGATGGGGCTTTGGGCTCCAAGGAGCCGGGAGGCCGCGAGTCTCGTCGGGAAGGTGGCCCTAAGGCCCCCCAGCGCCCGTTTACCGTTCCTTGAAAAACGGGGGGAGGGGTCAACCCGTTTTGGGGGGAGATTCGGTTCCCCTACTAAAATAGACTACAGAAAACAACAAAAAACAAAAACGAGTTGGTGCCCAAGAGAGTCAGGGTAGCCTTTGGAGTGCGCGTCTTTTTGAGGCACTGAGTTGACCGATCTGCATGAGCCAAGGGCCATTCCTTTGACACCGTCCTTGGCGCATTTGGCGCGAGCCAATGGCCCTCAAGCCTTCGGGCCCCGAAATCGAGATTCCCCGGTGGCGGAAAGAAATTTCAGCGGACGCCAACTCGCCACGAGCCTTCGAAATGGGACGTTTCCTTTTGGTGTCCGCGAATAAAAAGAAAAAACAAAGCCAGTGCCAGATGGGTGTGTCTAAAGGGAAGCCCATCCTTGCGGCTTCCCTTAAAACCATCCAAAAAGTCGGTCGCCTCCAAAAGGACAGTCTCCCAGGTGCCATCCAAAAACCCCGCCTTGGCCGCGTGTGAGGCACTACGACTTCATCGGCCAAGTCTTTGCCAAGTGGGCCTTCTGCAACCCTCTGCATCCGGATCTCCATCCGCAAGCCCGGCTGGTGCGAAAAATCGATCAGACTTTTGTTCGACCCCCCCCCCAAAAAAAAGGGCGGCGGTCCTTTTCCTTTCCCTTTAAACCCACCTCAAAACGAGGCTATTCTCAAGGAACACGGCACACCCGCTTGGTTTAGTTCAGGGTTGGTGCCTTTCCAGACATTCGGCATCCCCTGCGGGGGCCGTGTCGCTCGTTTGGCCAGGGCGCTTCGCCAAATGGACTCCGAGGCTGCACTGTTGGCACAGCCGCGATTGCGGCGAGTCAACGGTCGCCAGTAGAAAGGAACTGTTGGGTAAGTTTCCGCCAGGCAGCCGCCAGAAAGTTTTCATCTCTCAGCATGTTTGTGTGGGTTGCCAGTTTGAAAAACTGGAGAAGAACATGTTGAGGTCCCTGGACTTTTCTTGAGCAAAGCGCCAGGTAATACTTGCACTTTGGGAGATTCGGTCAAAATGCTCTGGCAGTCGGGACAAGCGTTCAAGGGAGCCACCATGCGCTGAAGCGACGCAGGTGGTGCAGATGGTTATCAACATGTACAACGGCGGTCCTGATGCCTGTTCCCGCCTCAGCATGTGTGATCTAATTCGAGCAAGACACCCCAAGATCGATGAGAGGGTGGCTGCAGTCCATTGGGCCCCTTTATGTTGAGAATTGTTCCCTTGAACTCCGATGTCTTCAATTGCGTGTTTTGCGAGGCTACACCAGGGCACCTTTTTTTTACAACTTCAAGAATCACACCGCCCATTTTTGAGGCCCTCCTTGACATGGAACCCACAGAAATAGATGCCGCAAGGCGGGGCCTTCACCACCGGCGGCACGGAGCCGGGCGCCCAATGGATCGGAGGTCATGGCTGTTTTTTGTAGGAAAACTCCCGAACATGGGGCGGTTTTCCCGTAGTTTCCCTCCAACTCTATCCCTCACCCTCCTTAAAAAAGCTTAAAACACCTCCTAAAAAAAAACTAAGCCTCCTTAAAAAAGCAGGAACAACAAGCCTCTAAGCCTCCTTGAAGCAACAACAGATGTTAGCCCCAGTCCCCAGCCTCCTCCCAAACACAAGGAGACATCCCCGAAAGTTGAATTGGTTGGAGGGTGGAGAGCCCCGTTTCGGTTGTGTGGTTTCTCTCAATGACACTGGTTCAACCAGCTTTGAACCCTTCTTGTTGTAAAGATCATGCCGGCTGTGCTACGATGAATGCATATAGGGGTCTCCCATACAAACACATATATATATATATATACATATATATATATATATATATATACAATATACATGTGCACATGTTGGCAGGTTCCAAAGCCTCGTTCACCAACTTTGCTCCAATTTGCGTCCACGCGTCCGTCTGTTTTAAACTGGCTTTTCTCTGATCTTTTGGAACCTATGCTCGTAAAACAACATGTCTTCAAAAGCACATGGTGCCCCATAAGTCTCCACGGGGGCCCCGTGCTTGCTGCGGGCTCCACCGAAGCCACGGAGCCATGGAGCCCCCGGCGGCCGGCTCGAGCGAGCGAGTGGGGCCCGAGGAGCATTCTCATGGCCATGAAGGCGTACCGCGACTGGGGCGCCGCCAAGGGCATCACGGACTGGGGGAATCCGATGGGATGGGGTCAAAGAGGCGGGGGTGACCACGAAATTTGATGGCGGCAATCCAAGTTGGTTTCCCCTTGAACCAGCTTGAAGACAAAAAGTTCTTATCATTCATGCGGGTTCTTTTTCGGAATGGTCAGGCGAAATGGGGGAATCCGATTTGGTGTCCCTTTTCGTTGGCTTTTTTCATTGGCGGCCGCCTGAAAACCATGGAACTAATGCGGTTTCCCATTGAACTAACCTGAAAAGGGTACCCTCAAAAGGTTCACATTGATGTGGTCCCCCTTTCGGACTGGGAAGCTCTAATGAAAGGATCTAACCTTTTCTCAGATGGCCAGCAAACTAGGGGTTTTTTCTTGATGTCTCAGCAAAACAGGGACAGTTGAATAGAATCGGCCGTCCTGCCCAGGGGGAAAACAACCTACTGCAATAAAAGCTGGCCATGTGTGGTGATCCCCTACTTCAGGTCGGACCCAGGTGGATGGAGAGTATTTGGTATCTGTCAATTGGGAGAGAGCTGCGCAGATCCCTTACTTCTGGCCTTTATTGGCTGCAGACTGGAAGATGATCAATCCCATTTCCCACTCGGGACTCGACAGGATCCCAACATCGTGATGTGCACCACGGCGCACGCTGCCTTCGACAAGGCCGCTCGCTGATTTGTCTGGACGATGCTGCGGGATTGGGTGGTGCCACTTGGCTGTGGGTGAAAAATAGGTGCCTAGAATGGAATCCTTGTAAATGGAAACATGGATTGGATTAAAACCTGCGGTCCCTTAGTGGTCTAATCTTGACCCATACCTGTCTCCTGCGCTTCCGCGCGCGAAGTGGGCTTAACATTCAGAGTCGGAAACTCTCGCATTCGGAGTCGGAGTGCGTGTCAGGCGGGAAAGTACTTCAAGATCAATGCCAGGCACCCAGGAAGCCCGGTGCGTGTGGCACAGGGCGGAGCCTTTACTTTGGTCTTAGTTCCTGGAAGCTCGGGCCGAAAACGTCAAACGAAACGCAAACCGCCCTGGTGCTCTTTTGATTGAGTTGGGGGTCTTCAAAATGGCGCCCCCTTTGGGGAATTCCAGTGATCTTAGTGCCTTGAACGAGGGTGCCCAAAAAAAAAAGGCCACCGTTTGGACCCGTACTTTGGCTTCCTTTCAACCCGCTTCTTTCCTGGGGGGTCCAACCCATGTCATGTGACACGGCCCAGGAGGCAATCTATCCTGGGTCCCTGGAGTTCAATCCTTAAGGGAGCCCAAGCCCCGATTTTTTGAAGCTTCCCTCGTGAGACACGTGTGCGGTTCTGCGGGGTTTCAGAGGCTCGACTGTGCCTAAGCCTCGATGACTTTGGCTCGCTGCCATCCGGAGCAAACCTTCTGGAGACGCCAAGGTGCGGTTCATAAGAGGCCTGCATTGTGGGTTTCTTCAATATCGCAAGTGAAACAACCGGACTACTTTTTAACTTGCGGTGTATGATTGTTCAGCATTTCTCCTTGTGCCACCTATGCAGCTCCCATCCACCATAATAATCAACCGCACCCAACCACAAGCAACCTCGTGATTTGCGACAAGTTGTAGGGTTCCTGTTGTTCCCTTGTCCTCTTTTTTAGGGCACCTTTGTGTTCTTTTTGGGAAAACCCTTCCCCCCTTTCTTTCAAGGGACACCACTGGGCGCAGGGACCGTTGAGGGGATTCGCATGGCTTTGTGTCATATCTTGGGCACCCATGGTGCTTCGACTGTTGCCTCCTGTCTCCCGACCCCACAATGGCGCCCTTTTTTCATTTTGGCTTCGCTTTGACGCAACCCCCTTTTGAAGCGGGGGTTACCCAACTCAAAAGACACACCAGCCATCTCCTGACAACCCCTCCCCCCCCCCCCCAAGTTGGAGGTACGGAAGGTGACGCCGGACGAGGACATGGGGATGGACCTGAAACGCATGGTGAAGCTGATGGACGCCAATACCGTGGCCATTGTGGGCGCTGCCCTCGGGATTGGGGGGGAGGGGAGTTTGATGCGGGAGGGGAGGGATTGATGGGAGGGGCGGGGCGTTTTGCTTTTCTTTTTCTTTTCTCCGGGGGGAAATAACAGGGAGGGGGGGCGGGGCGGGTGGAGGGAGGAAAGTTGGTTGCACTTCTCAGCCCCTGTGTTCGTGTTTATCCGGGTTTGCTTGGTACGTTTGGTTGGAAACGGAACGCGGGAAGGAAGCTTGTTGCATAGGCGCTGTCGCATCGCTCCTACGGCGGTTCTTTTCATGGTGCGAGTGGTGGTGTCGCTGGTGTCGGTGGTGGTAGTGGCGGAATTGGTGCCGATGCTGGTGCTGGCGGTGCTGGTGGTGCTGCTGGTGCTGCTGGTGCTAGTGGTGCTGGTCGTGCTGGTGGTGCTGCTGGTGCTGCTGGTGCTGCTGGTGCTGCTGGTGCTGGTGGTGCTGGTGGTGCTAGTGGTGACGACGACGGTACTTATGGGTTGCGTTTGTGCGTAATCTCGTCGTGTTGCTCGGTGGATTTGCAGATTCTGTTGCTCTTTAGGCTTTCGCTTCGCGGATGCGTCGGGCGCGAGTTGCGTCGAAGGCTCCTGCTGCCAGTACTGTCACGGCACTGTGGATCCCATCCAGGAAATGGGCAAGGCGGCCGCGGGCGGTTTGTGCAGTTGGCCTCTTGTACCCTTGACATGTACCACCAAACGTCCCTCTTCCATTTGCTTAAGAGTTCTTTCTTTGGTTTTCCCCCTGTTGGTTGGTGTCAATTAAAGGGAATCTATCACTACTGGACATGTTTGTTTCCTGGGGTTTCGCATCTGTGCAGATCGCCCTGAAGAAGAAGGTTGGTCTTCATGTTGATTGCCTCTCGGATGCAGTGCAGTGCATTGCAGTGCCCAAACCCCACGCCACCCCGCAGCACCCAACCACACCCACCCGCCCGCCCACGCAAGCACACGCACACCCATTCAGGCACGCACGTTATCACGCATGTATTCACACTTACTTTTTTGCACGCTCACGCACACGCAAGCAACATTTTACAACTCAAACACAGTTCGGCAGCACAAAGCAACTCGATATGGCTGCTTCGCAGTACGGCAATTTTTGTGCAGCAACATAGCACGCCACACAGCAGCACTTGCTTGTACCCGCAAAGGCGCAATCATTCCATTAGCTTTGCATGGCAATGGCATAAGTATGGCATGGGCACGGCATAGGCATGTTTCTCAGGTTGTCTTGGTGGCTTCCTGGTTCCTTTCATGGAGAAGGCTGGGTAGGGCGGCTTCCGGTGGTATCTTGGGCGTTCTCTTGAGGTTGTTTCAGAATGCGGCGAAGGGCGCACTCATTGGGGTTGAAACAGGGAAGCAACAAATCCGCTCTTCTTCGTTTTGAGACATACTGTGGATGGACGAACTTCTGCACCATCTAAAAGATCCTGGAACAATCATTCCCCTGTAAATACCAGCAAATAATGGGTCCCTATGGTATCAAAGTGGTGCAGGATTTTGTCCATCCACAGTAGGTACTCTAGGGACCCAAACCCTCCTCCCTCCGCCTCCTGCATCCGCCTCCTACATGGTTTTGTCTCCGAACAACCGGAAGGTGAATCAAGCGAATGGGGGCCATAGGGCCGCAGGAGCTCTATTCAGGTCAAATTCGCGTGGCTCAAAATTTAAGAGGTAGGGTTACGCAGGTTTTGTTTGTTTCCATTTACCTAGGGGCCGTTTTGGGTACATTTTTTGAGCCACAGCCAAATTCTTGTGAGCATATTTCGACATTACTTTCAAACTAGCAACTGGTTGATCCTGGCAGTTGTTGGGTGCAGATCTTGGGCGCCGCTTTGAATTGCGGCTTTCGGGTTTTGCCAACTCGCCACTCTGAAGCAACCTTATCTTGCTGGTGCTCAGCAAGGAACGAGAAATGGAATGACCCCTATACAACATCCAACTGGTGTTTGCCTTTAAGGGGAGAAACGCCTGGGTTCATTCCCACATTCCCTGAGCACCAGCAAGTTATATCCACCCTGTCAGTTGAATTCACTTTTCTAGACGTACCTTCCCCATTCTTTCCAGGCATCGATCCTTCTTTCTCGAAGACCTCCAGAAACCCGATGGGGAAAACGATTTTGTTGCTTTTGAAAAGATACTTTGCTGCATTTAACCAAGGGATGTTAGGACTTTAACTTTTTGCCAACGACTGGGTTTTCCGTGTTAAACCACAACTTATTCACTTTTCGCAGGGGAGCAGAAAGCAGCCGAGACAAGGTCCCCTCCTCTTTGTGGAAAACATGACCCACCTGGTTTAATAGTTGACTCACCTGGCCCACCTGGCTGAGAGATGGTTGAGTCGGCGGGTTGGACTCATACCCACAGTTTCCCTTGAGAACTCCGCCGCAGGCGGGCTTCGACATCCCGCCCTTCGACTTCCGGGTGCCGGGGGTCAGAAGCCCAGCCTTTTCGGACGCCGAGGGGGCAAAGGAAGGGCCGAAGGGGTCACGCAAAGCATGCACCCGGTTGATACATGGGGCCATGTTTGGGGGTGCCCATTTTTGAGGGTACCCATTTTTGAGGGTGCCCATTTTTGAGGGTGCCCATTTTTGAGGGTGCCCATTTTATTCTGCCTTTTTTTGGAGGCTGCCTTTTTTTGGAGCGATGTGGCATGTCCTCATGCACCTGTCTAAAAGCGTGGGAGGTGGTTAAACGATGCGTGGGGATTTGGGAGGCCCCTGGTGGCCATCTGGGACCCAAGCTCAATGCGCTTGCCGGCCGTGGCCGATTCCTGTACGCCCAGGCCGACCGGCCACCATGGCCGACGTGATGCCACCACCTAAACAAGAAGCAAAGTTTGCTTAAACTGGGGCTGCACCCTCGACCGCTCACAGCAAGATGGTCTTCACAGTGACAGTGGTGGGCTTCAGCAATTTTCGCAGCAAGCTGATGCTTACAAGCCAGGACAGCTTCTGGGCTGGAAACTGTGGCAGTTGGGCCGCAGCCCTCGTAACAAGTGCAAGAATGACCTTGACGATCAAACTTGATTCAGTAGTTTTCAACTAGCGAACAGCGAGCGTCAGTGGTAGTGGTAGGGGTAGATGAAGGTTAGCAAGGGATGGTCCCAACCAGAAATAGGTGCTTTCCCCGCCTTCTCAATTCCTGAGATGGGTTTGGGTAATGTTGACCCCATATTAGTCAACCCCAGAATATTCATAGGGGGTGGGGGCCCCTCCAAAAGTGGTCTGATTCCCCACCAAAAATAGGGAGAAGCACCCCGCTGTTAGTATTCCAGGGCTCGATTTTATGACTCATATGGCTGTGGGTCAAAACCAATGGTGCCATCTTAGGGTAGGTGCACCACCCATTTTAGTCTATTTTAGTGGGGATGTTCACTGGGGGTACGGGCTTTTGACCCATGGCCATCTCAGGTCACGTCCATCTCCTGCGATCCCCACAAGTACGGCTTCGCGCCGAAAGGGAGCTCCGTGGTGCGGGGCTCAGAAAAAAAAGAAAAGAAGCTGCCGTGGCTGAGGCGAAGGGTGTCGTTGAGGAAACAGAGTGAACTACCCATTTTGAGGGGGTTTGAATTGGGGACTGGGAACAACTTTGCTCGCGGTGCAACTTGTGATCAATTGGTTCTCAGCCAATTTTTCATTGACCCCTCATTCCTCAGTTCATCAAGCAGGCAAGTTGGGTCCCTTGGAAGAAAGGAGTCCCCATCAAACAGGCCCGCCTTAAAATTGACAGGAGACGTATTAATCGGGAGTCAACATGAAAATGACCAACCGCAAGGCCCTGCGGGCCCGGTTGTTATGGGGAAGCGTGGCCGAAGGTGATGTTCGCCAACAAGGAGCTGCGTGCCAGACCCAGAAGCGCAGAAAGACGCGAATCTGTCCCTTGTGGTACTCAGGTGGTGTGTGTGTGTGTTGTTTTCAAATTGGGGGACCCTGCCAATTATGGTGCTTTTTCCTTGCGTGGTTTCCTTCAAACCAAGGTCAGAAGAGTACCCTCAAGAAAAACACGGCCATGTATAGGTGTCCTTTTTGGTTGTTTTGGTAAAATACCTGGTGGTTAAATCATCTACCAGGGCCATCTATTTCCCCTAAAAGGACACCTATGCAGCCATGTTTCGCCAAGCCAAGCCTGCTGGAGTGCATGCGTGTGCTAAGAGAGCACCTTCAAGGAGCCAAAAGCGGCGCAGGAGTGAGTGAGGCACATCCAGTGATGAGGGGTTGGGAGGCAGCAGCAGCAGGTCCCACCAGAAGTAGGCGCCCAAATGGACTCCTCAAGGGAGCCGTTTTTTCCTCTTTTCTTTTTTCAAACATAAAAGCCAGAGTTCTTATTCTGAACTGAAACGGGCACGGAGGTCGATTGGAGTTCGCGAGGTCATCATATGTACTGCTACCTCATCGATTGGAGCGGGGGCATCTACGCAACACCCACCACGTGCTGGGCTTAGACGAGGCAAAGGCACGTATTTCCCCACCCATCTTTTTTGTGGTTGCTGGATATTCAGTGACATCCGACCGCCACATCCCAGCCCGCTCGACAGAGTTGCCCAGGTGCGACCCGTAGATCAAAGCGAATGTGAGCCGCAATCAAAACCCGGGCAGATGAGCTTTCAAGGGGCAGTCCTAGCCAATAGGAACCTTCGCCGCCTATTAATTGTTCCTTATGGATTTGGGTTTGGACCATTTGAATATGAATTTTAATAGGGAACCCCCGCCTTTGGCGGTTGGTGGATCTCTACCCAATTTTTGTCCACCAAAGGATCCCCAATGAGACAATTCCGACCCATTTGACGCCCGGGTTTGATTCATATGGTTGTGGTAGACCATGTCATATACCAGGTTTTTGTTTCTACATTATAAGTTAATAAGTTTACCTTCTTTTGTTATACATATATATATTATATTATATATACACCATTTTCTATACTCAGCTCGCGGCTTTTGGTTGGCCGTTCGTCGCTTTTGCCGAGGACCGGCTCTCGGCCTGGGGGGCCGGTGGCCGCCACTTGGGCCTCCATGCGCAGGCGAGCCGCGGGATGTGCTGGCTTGAACTTCCCCAGAAGTTGGCGTTTTTCTTGTTCTTCTTTTTTGTTGTTGTGTTGTTTTTGTTCTTCTTCTTTTTTTTCTGGTGTTGTTTTTGTTGGGGGTCCCCTTGGTTTTCCAGTAATTAGGCAGAATCAGGTCCCCTGTCGATGTTTTGCTTGGTCCCCTTTGTTTTTCATTAATTAGGCAAACAATCGAGTTTTTTGCCGGGGTCCTAATTCCATCCAAGTGAAGAGGTTACAACATGTTGGCCCAATCATCCCTGACATGTGTAAAGGGACACCTCCTGTGGACGGACGAAATCCATTTCGCACCATGGTGTTTCAACCATAGCGTTTGTTGGTATTTACAGGGGACTCAGCATTCTAGGGTTTCTGAACGGTGGTGCGGTTGATGGATTTCGCAACCATCAGTATGTTCTTGAAGGCACCAAGTCTGGTTTGAGGGGAAAATCCTGCAAAGCAAGGCAATACATCAAGGGTTCACGGTGCACAGGGCCCTGAACCTCGTTGGAAAAATGGAGTTATGGAGTTATGGAGAAGGCGTGCCACGGTGTGTGGTTTTGTTTCGTTTTGGACTTCTCGTTGGTCTTGCCTTGTTTGAAGATTTTGGCTTGGCTTGGCGTCTTTGCTAAATCTTTTAGTTTGTTCCATTGTTTTGTTGTGTTGTGTTGTTGTGTGGTTTTGTGTTGTGTCTGTTTGCTTGCTTGCTTGCTTGCTTGCTTGTTCGT